TTCAAACATAACTTATTATATAAAACAAAATCGACTGTCTTCAACTCTCACTTTAAATAAACTACTTCTACTTCTTTTTTGTCTTTATGTCTTTGGGCATCTTTGATGCATTCTACTGTTGTTATAACGTCTTTGTCAAATAAAGTTTTTTCATTGATAAATCATTTTCAGTGACAAAATTACTTTACTCATAAATTGATTTTCTTGCTTCCATCTCATCTTGGACAAAACTAAACGCATCTGCTTTACCGGGTTCTCCAACGAAACTAAAATCAGTTCTTTGACTCGACTGTTTTGAATGTCTTAAAGTGATTGTAGACGGGTCACACATAACAGGCGGTTGAACAACTGGATGGGAGTCAAAAGGAAATTGTATAATTTTGTATAGCTGTTGTGTTCTTTGTGGTTCGCTGGCATATAACGTGACATTTGGTTGTGCAGTTTTGTTGTGTGACAATTCATCCACATTCCCGAAAATTTGTGAACCCCTTTCAAGGTTTACTGAGACAGAGCCGGCGCTATTTACATTCAAAAAGTTTCGTTGGACGTAAATTGCCGTCGTAAGGTGATATTAAACTGTTGCCGTAGCTCACAAGTTGGGGATCCTTTAGAACGTTTGTCTTTGAATTCGAAAAGTAATTCTCCCTTGCTTCAGTAATTGAAGCCAAATTGGATTGCGTGACATGATTTCCAACAGCATTCTGAAGGTATTGTCTGTTAGCAGTGGATCAAAGAGATCTGTCACGCTGTCCTTAGCGGCTTCTTGGGCGTTAGCCTTTTTTTTACGGGGCTTGATCGTGTGATATCCTCTTTAACGGAAAACAAATCATCTAAGTCAGATTTAGCACCCTTATCTCTTTGATTTGTAGTATTGTTTTCTTCTAAAGGTGTCACTCCCACTTGAAAGATCAAGTCCTTAGAACACATCCATTACTCCCCTAGAAGATTTCATCTTGAACAGTAGTGTTGGAATCGAACAGTGCTGATACTGTGGTGGAGTCTGTTTGCTGTACATGGAAAAAAAAAGAAAGTAACTACCTTCAGTTTATAAGCTTCTAGTTGCTAATTGACCGAGTATTTTTGGTCTTACCGAATGCAAACTCATACCAAAAAATAGAGCAAGATTTTGATCTGTTGTTGACTGAAGTGAGGAGTCTACAGTGTCTCCAACCTGCAAGATACAAAGAGACAAAGATTACTAACTTGACAGTCAGAATCAAAGAGTGAATTCAACTCTAATTCATCATGGTGAAAGAGAAGATTGCTAAATGGATGCATTGTCCTGAGGCAAAATTGTACTGTTGGCCTAGCTAGTAATTTGTAGATCCTCTTAAAGGTTTGTCTTTGAATTTTTTTTTGCTTCTTAAATTAAAGTCACATATGATTGCGTGACACGATCTCCAAGGGAATTAGTATATGGCTGCTTGACTATAAACTTAGAATTCAGTCATGTCAAAAAAAAAAAAAAAAAAAAAACGAATACGAAGAAAAAAATAAAAATAAAAATAAAATAAATAGTAAGAAAAAAGAGATCATCAGAGGTATAAACCTAGCATGGTCAGTCTAGAGTCTATAAAACTTACCACTGGGACATCTCTTTCTTCAACTGAGACTTGGACATCTGCAAGGAAACATAATCAAGCTTTATAGAGTTCAATGCTAAAGTTAGTTCAACCTCAAATGATCAAATGCCTCTACACTGTATGTGTTCCACATGAGTATAGTGAAGCTTCATGATCTTTAACTCTTGGACCCATCTGTTGTGTATTCATTTAGAGGAGACTGTCACTCTTTAATTACCTTCTATATTCTGTCTTTATTCATCAATCAACCATCTAATAAGCTGGTGCAATCATGTTACTTGATTTAAGTCCTTTCACATCATTCAGTCGTCCCACAGATATTACTAACATTGGTACAAGTACTTTTACTCTGTTCTAAGCACAGTTGCACCATCCTAGAGAGAGTTAACCCAACTACTTGGCATAATAAGCCATTTCCTCTGAATAAAAAGATACATCAAAAGGGGGGGTATTATTGTTAGAATAACCCTGCCACTAAGGTGACCTTACCTGGCATATCTGTAGGATTAGGGTGGGGTTATCCCATGGAAAGACTTCCAAAAATAGCTCTGGGTACTGATAGCCTGGAAAAGATCACAGATGGAAGCATCTAGTACTGATTTCTCCATTCGTGTCTTTTTCTGTCATCCATCTCTAGCAAATACTGATTACTGCTAGTTTATTCCCTCTGAAGGTTGTCACAATGATTTAGGCCAAAATCTATGATCAATATTGTATGCATCATGCATACCTTTCTCAGTTCTCTCTTTTTCTCTTTTTGCACTCAGTAAATACAAGATCTGAGTAAAAACAATATATTGTTTCTGTCACTATGTGTATGATGCATATTTACACACATGATATTTCACAAAACAAATCATTCCTCATTAAGTAAATTAATCTGATTGACTCACCTTTGTAGCCTTGGATAAAACATTACCACATTACCACTTTCTGATCAAACAGATAATTGATTGTGATTTGTAAGAAATGCTGGGAGGCATGATAAAATATGTACTTAACACACCTGGTGTAAATTTAAATTGCTGTTGTACTCCTGGTCCTATACCCATTGCATGACAGATATCTTCTCCTAATCCAAAACTGGCATTCTCAATATCCTGATAGTGTTGAATGCAGTAGAACTTGTCGTAATTGGGAACATAGCAGTAGTTAAAGTGGTTTAGCCATGAGTTGCATATTGCAAATTATCATCTATACCCAGTAGGAATACTAAATAAAATGCAAAAAGATGTCAAAAAATTTATTGAACAAGTTCTGATTAATGTTTAAAATGAAACATTTCCTAGTAGGTCATCCTCATGGTCAAAAGTTTCTTTATGTCACGCTGGTTCATTTTTTCCTTGTCTCAGCACTATAAATGTACTCTAAGACAAAAAAAACTTACACAACTTAAACTGGTTGAAAATCTTAAAACAAAGGAAACTATAAATCATGACTTCTGCATCCAAAAGAATAGTACATACATAAACAACATGAAATAGTTTATTGATTGTTTTAAATCCCAAAGATGACTTAAGGCTTTCTTCCGATTAAAGTCAAGTTTTTCAGACAAGTTGATCAAGTTTGGGCAGCAGCTCACTTAACACAATGGATGATTCTATCCTAGGACTACTCACAATGACAATAAACTTGACATTCAAAATTGCAGTGAGAAGCTTAATAAATCACCAAGTATGTCCACATTAGTCAACAGAGAAGTCTGGTCCCAATTTTTGCTGGTTATCAGATCCTCCATAACTGTTATCCAACATGTCCCTTGCTTAAGCTGATTACATCTGCTAATTTACATTAAGCAGTTTAAAGAAGTGTAACCTCACTTAGAGATATCCCTTGAATGAACCAACTTTTTTGTGTATGCCCGTGCATACATGAAAAAGGGTTTCTGGTGATTACCCCTACTGGAAGTTCCATTTTAACAGTATAAATCTAAATCTTTGAATCTACTTTTTCCCTGCCTTGCAATTTCTTATGACTCCTACGCATAATTAAATTCAGCAGCTTTCTCTTTTCAGATCAAACTCATTACAATTTCTAGTGACAAATCTGAGAGCATGAATTTAGTTCAATTCATAAAGGAAAATCAAATTCCCCTCCAGCTTTTTTAAAATCATACTTACATTGACGAGCCTCTCTTTGTTCCATCTTGCTGTCTTCACATACTGTTTGTAGTGCCATCTAAGCTCTTTTACAAGTTCCCCCCTGTCATCTGCTGATTTCACTGAATTTGCACTAGATTTTCGATTAAAAATTGAAAAATAAAAGTTGGAAAAGGTGAAATGCAAATTTTCATTAAAATGAAAATGAAAGCTCTCTACAAAGACAGTATTGTAGACGGACATCTTATATTGACACCCACCACGCCTGGTAGTTTATGTGCTGAATTCAGCATTGAAAGATGCATGTTAAAGACCTGACAAGGTCAGGTGTTCTTTTCTTGGGCAAGTCTCTTTACTAACTTAGTGTCTCTCTCCATTTACAAGTATATACAGGCAACAGATAACTCTCAGGGAGGCCCGATAAAAGACCTGGGTAAAACTTTGATGGACTAGCATCACATTCAAGGGAAGTAACAAAACTCAAAGTCACTTCCACAATAGTCAGTTTAAAGCTTGTTCTTTACACGTAAAGTAGTGTTCCTTATAATCCCAATGAAACAGAAAAAAAATAACTTCATCATTTTACAATCATACCTGGAGTTGATGGCAAAGAATGAGCAAATGTTGTCCTCTCATCTTTGTACAAAGACGCTTTCAAGTTTTCGAAAGTTGGATCAGAGAACTTTTAAAAGACTGAAATGTATCACCTTAATGTCACGTTTTCACCACCAAAAAGTTGAATAACAACGTGCGGGTTATCCACCAGTGCGGGTAATCTGTTGACTTTTTTTTTCGCCGCATGCAATAATCGGCCGGTGCGGGTAATCGGCCGTGCGGGTAAACGACCGGAAATTACGGTAGTTCCTTCTTGGATCTGCAAGTTGTGGAGTCACTGACAGATGTCATGATCAAATCTCTCTTGTGATGCTTGTTCAGTTGTGGTTCAATGAGTTAAATATTTCAGAATCATACAATGCAGTGTCAGCTTTCACAAACAGAAAAAAGAACCAAAAGATTAATCACCCCACATAAAAATGGGTAATCTACATACAAAACTTTAAGAAGGACCATTTGGGGAAACTGAATTGAAAATAATTTTTCTTAATGGATACATGCACTTTTGATGAAATCCCATCTATTAACAACAGCTTCAATGATAAAAAAAACTAAAGCTGTTTGCACAAATTACATTTTAATTCATACAAAGGACCTGGAAAAGAAATTTTAGAAACAAGGATACTTATAGAAAAAGATGTTTTTTCTTCTTGTCACAAGCATAGGTCAAATTAAAAAATTCTTAGTCGCATGAGGAATTGAACCTAAGACTTTCGGATTCCACACACTGATACTCTACCACTGAGCCACAGAGGCTCTATAATGAGCATTTTTCTATTACAAAGTTCATATATGACATGCCTCCTGCATACTGTTGGGATCATCAAAGTTGCTAGTGTCATGTTTTGTATATGAAATTCATGATGAGCCTTGCTCTCCATAGAGTCCTTGTGGCTCAGTGGTACAGCATAGAAGCACTCAGAATTTTTTCTATGTCCCACACTTGCAACAAGACAAAAAAAAAACATCTTTCTCCATTTGTTTACAGAGCTCAAACCTTGCCATCTTTCTTATTCTAATTACAAGAATACCTATGTTACAGACAACATATTTATTTTAAAGACTACATTGAATATTTTGTCACTTGTCCAAATTCAAACAAAGTGAAAAATGATTTTTTTAATCAATCTAACACAGGCATAACAGTAGACAGGAAATCATAAATAAAAACCCTGACCTTGATTTTTTGTCTAATCTTTGAAACCCTTGTAGAACTTCATAATATTAATGTTATCACTTGAATTCCAGCTGGAAAATAGAAAATGTGGATTGATTTCATTCTATAACTTAACTTCTTGTTTTTTCTTGTTTTTTTCTTGTTTTTTTTTTCAGGTACAGTGATAAACAATGATGATAAATTTGATAGGAATAGAAAATAATTTTCTCTTCTTTCAGATGTTAACTACTACCAGACCCTACCAATTTCAAGCTGCAAATTTCAGTCTCTTTTTTAGATTCCTTGAATATAAATCAATAAAGAAATAAATAAAGCATAAAATTCAAATCATAATTACACATTCATATCCTATGAAAGATGTGTCTAAGAAATGTCAATTTTTCTGTATCCTTACTTTTTAATCACATCTCTTAATATAGTTACCTAAGACATCAGACCACTAGCCTTCTCCAGATTTATTCAAAATAGCTTGATGATTGCATAAAATGACAAATTTTAGGAAGACAAATTAACTCTAATAATGTGAGGGTGACTTTAACCTCTTACACCCTAACATCAGTATGCATATTCTCCACACTGTTCTTTATACATTTCCTAAGATGCTGACAAGGAGAATTTGTTCAACAGTCAAGAGCTTCTTTAGCTTCTTTTGACTTCAATACCATTGGAAAAAATCATCCCACATGGTATCTCTTGTTAGTCTCATGTCTTTTGTTTTTGAAAAGTTTTGGCATAAAAGGCACAACAATAATTCTTTAAACCAATTCTTCAAACTAAACATAAAAGTAAAACTGTGATTAATAATAAGTAGAATCAGTAGAATATAACTTGATGTTTAATATTTGGAACAATGTAATTGCAATATCTACAGGAACTTTAAAAGGTATCTGGTAATTGATTGTTTCTTAGATTGGGATTCATAATACCTTACTGTATATATGGTCTACTTGTCCCAACCATTGTTTCATATTCATTTGGCAAAGATGCTTGCTTAAAGTTTGGTACACACCTACTTCAAATCCTATTGAGAACCCTGATCTATTACATCACCCTTAATCAGAATTAAGAAGGAAAACTGCCCACTGAAAATCCCAACTGTGAAGGTCACGCCAAAATATAAAGATGAGTAGCACAATCACCATGCCCATAGGGGGTTGACCGCAAACTTTCAATGATTTCTTCTGTTTTACATTTTCATTGAAGTCAAATCTTTGCTTACAGGTAAAGTTGTTCTTATTGATTATTGTAAAAGCAAAAAATCAGAAAACCACAGTACTGTCTTCGAAAAAATACCCGTGAAAGATGAAAAATTGAGCCAATTTTGGTTGTAACGCGTAACACAATATCTGGTAAAATTTTTGAAATACATTTTTCACTGAAAAGAAAGCTCGTTTGACTAAACAAATTACACCTAATGATAACACACAATAAACACTACATTTGAGCAAAACTTTGACATTTCAAGTTTATTAAAACGAATAGAAAAGATTCATCATTCTTAAGTATCCTTTGTGTAACGCTGGGTTTCAGAATTTGGAAGTACACCAAGTTGTTGTCCGTAGATTGACTGAACTGGAATCCTGTGGGAACAAAAACACATTAACCAAATGCTCATACTTGGTGTTCTAAAATAGCGAAAAATCAGTCTAAAGGATTGACTATAAACGGAGAAATATCAGTGTAAAACAGTCGCTACGGTTTTGTAAAACCTGATTACGCAATAATATTTTTCATCAACTTACCTACTCCTTCGCTACTATACTTCAAACACGGCGAAGTCGGGTTTCAAAATCGATTACACTTCAATGCTCATAAGTTTCTCTTGTCATTTCCAAGTTTTCGGGTCCATATCTCTAGAAACGGCCAAAATATTCACTTTTGACCAAGTCGCTACGCTTTTTACCATGTTGATGCCATATTGAGAACGGAGTCTCGCCACAAATGCCACCAAAAGCGCTATGAAATCTGCTGTTTGCTCCGCCATTTTCGCCTTCATCTTTTCATCTCCGTGTCGAAAATAGCTTGGTAACTGTAGGCGCAGGAATTTGTATTATCATTTTTTGTTAGTGTTGGTGTTTCATAGTTTTGTGTTAGGTGTTTATTTTCTCCTCTTCATTAGTGTCCTTTGTCAGTTACCAGTTTTGCACTTGTGATATTTATTTGCATATCGTCTATATATATGTTGCGCGTAATTTATTTGGTTAGTTGTCTAGTTTGCGAAAATTATCGTTACATATCTAGCTCTGGGTTTCATGTTTTCGTCTTTGGTTTGGTCACATTCGTCTTGTAAGTATCCTTGTTTATTTCGCTTTGTCGTTTTCCAGTACTTTCACTCATACGATGTAAGTTATTTTATGCTCATTCGCGTGTTTGTAATTTTGTCATTTTCAGTTACCGTATTCAACAATGTGTCAAGTTTGTTCTAGTAAAGTTTGAAATACGAGTGATTAGCGTTTGCGGCTATAGTAACCTTTCCTGTTTTGGCGGTTTCTGCGACGTTATCAAGGGTAGCTGGGTCTTCAAGCTCAATAATTTTTCTGAGATTTAGCAATCTGTAAAAATCGCTTCAAGTGCGCTTGACAAGAGGTATGGTTAACGAAAAGGAAGAAAAGCTTGCGAGGATCAAAGAGTGGAGGAGGAAAAAGCAGGAAAAGAATAGGCTAAGGAATCTAAAATATGATGAAAAGAATCACAAAAAGAGAGCTGAATTTCCAAGAGAAAAATGGTGATGTGATCTTCAAGTTGTAAAAAGAGGCAGAAAGTCTGTTTTTAGAGTGCCAGTTGATCTCACTGAGGAGATACTAGCCTCCATGTAATACAAAATGTTATTATTTCTACTTTTTACTATGTCAGTGAACTCGAAATTGATTATTTGTGAAAAAGACCACACCCACAAGGGATTCTGGGAAATACAAATTTGAATCAAATGTGACAAAAATAAAATAGTTTGAAATAAATCAGTTGTAATAGTAAATGTGAGTTTAAAATAGACCTAAAGAAGTGATTTTGTCCCAAACTAGCAATTTTCACATTTTCCGTACATGTTACAGAAGTGGGTATGGTGATTGTGCTACTCATCAAAATGTATAACAACATATAAAGATCTTGGTAAAAAAGCCACACAACACCTTAGATTGATCCTTGAAGAAAATCAAGTAATGCATGTTTTAGAAAGTATACCATTTTAAATTTAGTTATCCAAGCAAAAGCTATCATAGGCAAATTATTCCTCAAAATTTTAAGCTAAAATTTAATGTGGACCACTCACCATATAAGCAACCTACACGTCAAGAGTGAGATTTGTAAATGAAGGTGAATGTGACAGCTAATCAACAATTTAGCAACAAGGACGTTTGGTCACTGAGGCTCGTTGCTTTTCTAAGGAAGCTAATCATGCTGTAACCCAGTAAAGTTTCCTCACAGAGCAGCAAAACCACAGTCTGAATAATATACCTAATGAAGAAATTGAAGGAAAATTACAAAACATTACATTACAGTACACTGTAATAGAACCGTTTTGAAATTTCTTTTTCCCTAGTTGATTATTGCTACACATATATTTGTCAGTTCACGTTAATGATTGACCATTTTGAATAAATGATTGTATGAAGGTGCAATTGATTGTGCATCTCTATGCAAATTGTATTATTGTATGTCTCTAAGACACAATTGATTGTCTTACTATGCAATTGATTTTCTATTGGTGTAAATGATCAACCATTGCGCGAGATTGGAAGTATATTTATTATGTTTGATTGTCCAAAGGTGCAATTGTTCATCCGTTGATGCTATTGAATGTTAATACATATGCAAATAGCGTTATTGAAAGTTCGTTCGCGTTAATGAAGTTCATGGAAGTGCTAATGAATGCATATTTGCCGTATAGTTTCAACTGTTGACGTAAATGAATTTATATTTTGCGTAAATGAACAGCCAAAGGTGTAATAATATAAATTCATCTAGAGGACTGGACGTTTATGTGAGCTAACATGACAAATGAGCAATTTATAACTCTAGTGCCGACCGGATACACCTTTTCTACACAGTCTTTGAATAAATGACCCATCAAACGCTGTCATCGGTAAACAACTGAGCTCACATTTTTCCTTCGAAGTTCCGTCTCTCGTGGAAACCAAAATGCATTTGTTCATAGCAGGGTCAACCTGCACAAAGTAGGCCATAGATATGGGCTGTGCGCGAGTGAAAAACGTTTCTTGCAAGACGTTTATAGACAGCTGTTGATACCAAGCAAGAAGGGCGCCGTAAAGGCGCCGCGAATAACAGTGATTTTTTAAACTAAGCATCGTTCACGGCACTTCGACAGACACATTTTACAACTCCTCACTAAATAGTAGTCAGGCGCATCTGGTTTACCGCAATGCACGATGGGATTAATACAAAACGCGCGGGAAAACGAGGTCCTTCGGTATAACAGCTGAATTGCCCTCCAGAACACCGTATTTTAAGCACAGCATGCACACCTCTAACTTATCACTTATTTCAAATAACTGTGAACTCTGTGAGTTAAAATTGCTTTGAACCATTGTACCGTCAAACCTCTCTTTTTCTTGATTGCATTTTACCAGATGACTGACCCAGCGTTTAAAAAGGGGTGAAATACAATGAAATAACTTAGGGGCGTTCCTTTGGGAGGATCCGGATTTGGCTTTGTGATCCAAGATCATACAGATCACGGTGCATGAAAGGAACGGAGTTTTAGGGTGCGTTCCTTTGGAAGTATGCACGTGGGTTATTGGGCTCTTCGCTTCCGATGGAATTAAAAAAAGAGGCAAGTATTAATTTACGATATGGATACTTGGGAACCCTGAATGCCTGCGATCAGTGGCCGATCGATTTAAAATTACAAAATCGATTCTATTTCGTGTTTACCGCAGAATTTGTGGAGCGATTACCAACAATCTTTCGGGTCAATATATGAAGTACTTACTTGTTTCAAATTGAGCACCGCTGGGCAAAATGATTAATTTCGGATCCTTCGCCCAAAGGAACGCGTTGGATCAGTGATCCAATGATCCGTCCTTAGATCACGCAGATCAGTGATCCGATGAATCCTTGTCCAGAGTGGATTTGATAGATCACTGATCTGAAAATGGATTTGCTCGAAAGGAACGCCACAGATCAGAAATCCTGATCCGGACTCTCCCAAAGGAACGCGCCCTAAGCTATATGGGAATTTAAAAGGCTATCTACATCCATTTAGTGACAATGAACGCATGAGTGTTCAAATTAACGATAACTATTCCGGGAATTTGATGACAGGCCACTTAGTAGGAAAGCTGTTTGGGGTTTGAATGTATTTTGGTCTAAAGACAATCCTTCTAATATTGATAATTTTACTCTGAAATTGATAGTTACTCTATATCGTGACACAAATGATCAAAGGTTCTTTAAGAGAGCTCACGACGAGCAACCACATAACCACGATGAACAAATCCACCTTTACAAGAGATCATAGCAGTTATTTTAAAATCGTCCTTCCAGATTCGTTCACATACAAATGTTATCAAACAGGACGGATGGTCACGTTACTTCTCTTCCAAATTTTTTTCAGTTGTTGGCCAGTTGTCTAAATTCCCCTTCTCTCCCTCCCCCCTCCCTTCCTCAGGCTTCGTGATTTGAAATGTATTCATGTATTTATGGCTAATACATGAAGCCACAGGAAAAAAACATATAACAAATTTTCTATACTAAACCACTTTTAATTCACATTACGCTACAATGATTGGTTTGCTAAGTATAAAGTTGGTCACACATTTCTAAGTCTCCTCTGATCACTAATTTTAGTTGAAGAATTTTCTATTACTATGAATTTATGACCAATTTTTTCATCATGTATAATGAAAAATAAGTATTTCTTGTTTACAAATTTACTTTACCTATTGCACTCATCAACTTAAAATCGCCTATACCCATGCTTCTAAAGTAGCATGTTTAGTATTTGAGTCTTATTTAGCCAAGTAACACGTCTTCGCGCGAGACCTTCTTATTTCAATGAAATAATCTTAAGACATTCATTCATTCCTATCCTGCAAAATTGAAAACTTTCACGTAAAGATACGTGACAAGCTAAAAGTTGAATATTCCCTCCTAAGTAAAAGATTGACAAAGGAACCTGGGAACGAGTGAGTTCGATATCCAACAATACACCTGATGGTAAGGATCGCAGGCTCGCTGATCCATGCATTCCTAGTTCATGTTATTCAGTTCAGTGTTTATTACATACATCCTATGCACCTAAAGGACCTCTAACCAAATCATTTTCACAACACGAATTTTTTGCTGAGTCTACTGGTAAAAGTGCTAACTTTGTTATCATTCCTTCGTTATTATTCCTTTTTGCAAAAAATATTTGAGTGTCTATCTCAAGATATGAATTTTTTCGTCTTCATAGTCACAATTGCCGGTGTAACAATAAAATTGCTAACTTTGTTACCATTCCCATGTTATTATTCCTTTTTGCAAAACACATTTGAATGTCTATTTCAAGATATGAATTTTCTTGTCTTCAGATTCACAAACCAAAATACGACCATCTGGTGTTGTAGCTATTGCTTTCGGATCTCTTAGCTTAATAATAGTTTTGCCAATAAAACGACCTTCCATTGTAAACTGTTGAATGCGTCCATTATTTCTGTCACACACCAAAAGATTCTGATGATCGCCATATTTCTCAACACACAAACCCCATGGAGATGAAAATTGTCCATCAGCTTCGCCTTTTTCTCCAATCTTGTACAAGAACTTCCCTGATTTGTCAAACACTTTCAAACAATGATTTCCACTGTCAGATACAATGAACTTGTCTTTGTGATAAATGCATCCACTAGGTGCATTTAACTTTCCAGGGTCATCGTCTCCAAATTTGAACATGAATTTACCATCTTTGTCCAATACCTGAATTCTGTCGTTATAGTAATCCGCTACAATGACATGTCCTTCATTATTTATGAAAATTCCTTCGGGTCTTCTAAATTCGCCGTCTCCAGTCCCTTCCTCTCCAAAGCTCTTCACAAAGTTCCCTGTCTGTACATTGAATTGTTGAATTCGGCCATTATCGTCATCCACCACCAGAAGCTCGTCATCATTCAGGAATGCCAATCCAGCTGGATCATTCAGCTGCCCAGGCCCTTCTCCATAAGAGCCAAATTTTCGCACAAAATTTCCATCCTTATCAAACATAAGAATGCAGTCTTCTTCACCGTCACTAAAAGCGATTGTTCCTTTGCTGTTGACAGCAATCCAATTTGGACCATAAGAAATTTCTTTTTTTAGAACTAACTCGCCCACAACATCAATCCGTCGTTCCTTTACCTGGACCCTGAAAGGACTGGTAACAAGTTTGTTCCCATTTATCTTGACTGTCATGTTGTAGGTGCCAGGTACTTTAGGAACAAACTTCACGTGGAAATCATCATTTTCTTTTCTAAAAGTTCTTAAACTTGCTACATCCTCAGCGGGTTCTATGAGCACTTTAACGTCAAGTTCACGCTGACATTTACTTGAAAGCTCTTCTTCACTCTCCCGCCTTGGACAAATCAGAAGCTCTGCTTCCAGACCAGCTTGGAGATTTTCAGTAAGAGCTTCCATTGATGACAACCGTACATCTGTTTCATTGGTTATCACTGACCCCAGGTTTAGGTTGTCAAGTGCATCAGTCGAGAAAAACTTCACGAATGAGCTAACCGGAAGTGAAGGGACTGTGGCCTTGTCGAGATCTCCAAATCGCTGCTCTAAATTCTTCTTACTTTTCATAACATCTGAACTGGAGCTTCTCTCAACCAGGTTTTTTGCAAACTGAACTGCTTGGTCAAGCTGTTTGATGAATGACTTTACTTGCTCGTTTAGAGAGTTTATTTTCTCCATTCTAGACACGCGTGTATTCTCGAGGATTTTTGTAGCTTTCCGCTCGTGTTCTCGAATCTTCGCGACCATTTCCTCGGCTGTTTGGGAAACCTCTCGTTTAGCAGCGGTGATATTTCGCTCCAGCTCTACAACAACTTGTTGAAAAGTTTTAATCGCATCGCCACAAACTTTCTTCTTTTGTTCTATCGACTCGACTGCCGCCATGATGTTTGTTTTCTCGGCATCCGCTGCTTTCTCAAGCGGATCAACATTATGATTCTTGTGATCAGTGTTTATGCAAACTTGACAAACACAAATCTGGCATTCAAGGCAAAAAAACCTGGTTACCTCTCTCTCGTGGTAAGGCTGAGGGCAAAAGGACTGACGCTTTAACAAGGCCTCGTAATCTACGGCTTGAAACTGTTTCACTGCCGTCACTTTGTGTCCTTGAAAGGCGCTCTCTCGAAACAATTCGTGTGCACTAACACAATCACGGCACAGTAATTTTTCGCAACCGAAGCAATAGCTGATCTCGGCGCTCTTTTTCTTACAGATACCACAGCTGATCTGACTTCCATCTCCACTTTGTCGTACAGCGAGAAGACTCAACAAACTGTTTTGCAGAAAACCAGTCGGCAAATTATCGAAACAATTTCCTTCTGGGATATTCACTTGTGCCTGACAATCGGGACATCGAAATTGTCCTTGTCTTTGGGTTTTCAAAGCGTGCTCCTCTAAACATTTCAAGCAGAAGGTATGAAGACAAGCTATGGTCTTAGGCTTGGTGTAAGTATCCAGACAAATGGAACAAGTAACATGTTTTTCGAGGTTCTTCAAGAGAGACTCCATCGCGAAGGCAGATTTCGATATCAGAGCGAAAGGAAACACACCCGTGTATTGTTTGTGATTCCGAGAAACATCAGCCAGAATAAATATGCTAGCCAATCAGGCAGATCGAACCTCGTGACCTTTTATTTTCGGAGCCGATGTCAAGTCACACAACGAGTAATGTGGTCTTTAACAATAGGCTCTTGCTCCATTCCTTTCTCAGTGTAACTGATGGCAGATGAAAAGATGTTTTTGCAGTAATTATTCCATATGTTAGATGAAGGTTAATCCTCATCAGTGATCAGGTATGTGGGCTTCACAAAAGTGTAGCGTAAGAGTTTGTAAGATTTGCCGGAAACAAAAATCACTTGATAAGGCTTAATTAATTCACTCGGTAGGAGCGTGCGTCGTTCATTCAATTTCAGATTGGAGCCCTGATGAAAAACGGATTTTATGGAAATGCATGCGTTTCATATAAAAGAACGCGAGCTGTAAAACTCTGTCTGTAAATAAAGGTATATGGTTTATTTTCACAGAGCTTGACTTACAATCCTGAAAGAACTCGAACTGATTTTAAAAAGGGGGGGGGCAGGGGGAATAAAACGTTGGTTTTACCAAAGGCTCATAAATCAATAGTGTAGCAGCCTTTTACATCTTTTTCAGCCTTCAATATTCTCGACGGTCATCCTTATCACTAATAGATAGGACCCAGCCCCAGTCTCCTCTCAACTGGCCTTGATTATTGTCATCCAATGAAAAACTACAATTTTCTATTCAAAGCAACGGTCACGAACCCATCACGAGATTTATCGGAATTTTTAGCCTCGAAAATTATGATGTGATGGCTTCCATGCAAAGAACATCCGTTGATGAATAAATTAGTTGTGGTTGCAACCATTTTGGGCAGAAAAAAAAGAGCATAAAATCAGCTTTATATTCCAGGACCTCGAGCGGCCGAATGACATAGATGCTCAATGTGTTTAGGGTCTGTTCACAATTTACCTTTCTTGGAGCATTTGCTGGTCATTTTAATTTAGATTCTTCGACTTCTTTTTTTTTTTTTTAAATTCAATTTGTATATTTAATTAATTCAAATGTAATTCAATTACTGAAGGCAAAGACTGTGAACAAAATCACAAATTTATTTCTCTATCCAGTCTTTGATAAATAGATAAATGAAGTGCACAGCCATGCCATGCTGTCAGAAACCGTGCTGTCAGAAACGTGAAAAGTTCTATTTCTAGCCTAGTTTCTACCTCACATAAATTTAAAATTTTAATCACACAACAACTTGCGATGGGTCCGTATGCTTTTCAGTTCAGAAACCGTGAAAAGGTCTATTTCTAGTGTAGTTTAACCTCATTGAAAATTAATTATGTCAACTGAAGAAGCTAAGCATTTTTGTATTACAAAATTCCGAGTTCATAGCAGCTTTGACCTGCTCTACGCTTGTATATCAAAAGTAAATTTTACTTCTTCACTGGCGTGTCCAAAACTAAAATAAAAGTAAAAGAAACGACGCCGCAAAAAACTATAGTAATCATTAATCTAAAAGCTTTCAGAAAGAAAGTTTGCAGCAATTCTTAATCAAATTTAACCTGAGCTCCCTGTTTGGCAATTGCTTTGGTGAGGTCAACTGAAGTACACGAGAGTCTAATTTATTTCTTGTTATCCAGGCTAAATGATTCCTTTTTTCTAATTTTATCAAAGCGTTTCTTTCACTCTTCAGACAGCGATCTCCTCAAAAAATACCAGTTTCGACACAGCTTAAGCCCCATAGTTTCAACATTTTAATTTTTCTCATCACAGCTTTGCCAAATGAGCCTCTTTGTGTCGTATTCGAGTATTTTTAAATGCTTAAAAGTCTTAAAGAGATTAAAACAAGCTAAGGCTCGTATGCAGAAGATGGAGACGTGTCTCTGAAAGTGACATATTGTGAAGCAACGTCCGCCTTGATGAATGGGGCATCTAAGTGGCGAGCATTTAGAGACAATCATGAAGCACACAATGGGCTTCAGATATTTCTCACTAGCTTATATTGAAGTGAAGCAAAATCCATTCAAGCAGCCATAAGTTACAGTTCATGCTATTTTTAAAAGTTCAGTTTTGTTTGTCTCATGGACTTGAAAATGTAAATCTGTCTGGCCAGTCGATATGTAGCCTTTCTTACTTACAAGGCACGCACCAGTTGTTTATTTGACCCTAAACGATTGCTTTGCATTAAATGACACATCCCCAATTTATTTGCGTAAAAATTTAACCTCCTTTTCGCTTTACGGGATGATTGTTTCTGAGTGTGAGCTCTTGCAGTGTCAAATCAAATCGGTTTTCCTTGGTGAAAAGGGAAGCAATCTATTTTTAGAATCACTTGAAAAATCTGCACAATACTTTGCGAGCTTTTGTCTCTCAACAAAGACCTTAATATCGAAGATCGATCAGAGTCTCTATCCTTAGCAAGCGAATTTGGCATAACTGTCAACAATGCTTCTTTAAGTGGCCCAGACAGTTAAGAAGCATTTTTCAGATATCGATTAAGTAAACGTTAAGTTATGCTGAGTTTTCAAATCATAACTGTTAAAAATCCATAGAGAACTATCTAGAACGTTGAAAACAATAAGTTGCACTTTCAATTTGACGGCTTAGCAGTAAATTACTTGCTTTATTTTTCGGTTTTTCCCAAGATTCTTCCACTTATCAGCATGTTGTACTATACTTTGATGTCGGGGACATCGTTAGTGGTAAAGTCGATCCAAGAACTCTCCAATCCCATGAAAAAACTAAATACCCTAAAAACCATTTTAGCCCGCCTCCATCATACTCAAATTTTTTCTCAAGGACTGTGGTTAAGGGAAAAGATAAACATTCTAAGAAGCTCGTTTTCCAGCCCTTATGATTAGTGGCTATATACAAGCCACTATATAAGTGGCTTGTATATAGCCCTTGTCAAATGGGAGGTTTTTGCAAATATTGCGTGATGCATGATGGATGTTCGAGCACAGAAAAGGCCACCTGTAACAGCTCCATTCAAAAGGTAAAAAAAGCCACTGGTAAAGATGGAGCACTTGAGCGTCGTCAGAAAATGCAATGTCACAAGAGGGCACTTGACACCAGCGTTGCGCTAATTCAAAGTGCTCAAAAACAAAAGAAAACCTTGTCATTTAAGAATTTCCACGCAAAACCAAGGGATGTTTGACAAAAATATGAACTTGCTTAGAGCAATTATAAGTACCATAATATTGTGTGGCAAACAGAACATCTCTCTTAGAGGCCATCCAGATGACAGCACAACCGTAGCATCCGTGAACAAAGGCAACTTTCATCCCATTCTTATCCTATTACGAAACTCTGATGACGATTTAAAAGAACACTTAATTACTCATTGGTAGGGAAATGCCACAAGTCCCTCTAAAACTGTACAAGAGAAAGTTCTTGATATCACTGGGACATATGTTCGGTCGAAAGCTACACCGCAGAAGATTCAAAAGGAAAAGCTTTTCCCTCAATCATTAGCGATGAGCTGACGGATAAATAAGCAAATCAAGAAGTATTAAGTGTTTGCCTGAAGGCTTTTAGATCTAAGAAATGATGTCTCCCTCATATCAAAGAAGTATTTTTCGACTTTGTCAACCTTGACAAAAGATCTGGTGAGAGCATAGCAACGCTATTTTGTCAAGTTTGGCCGAGAACAACATCGATGTCGCGTTTGTAGGAGGACAGGCATATGATCACTTTATCACTGCCATGTCATCGGAAGCATGTAGTGTGCAAGGGAGAAAAAAGAGAATAGCTCCAATGGCATTGTGCACTTATTGCAACAGTCACGTTTTAAATCTCAGTGTTGCAGCCGCGCGCAGGTTAACTCCAGTCACTGAAACATGATTAGAACCTTAAATGAGACTTTTTCCGTCTTTCATATTTCGCCTAAAAGACAGCGATTTCTAGAGCAAGTTTTAGAGAAGTGTGGTTCTATTTCAAGAAAGGAGAAGTTGAAAGACTTAGGCAAAACCAGATAGGCGGAAAGGCATGGATGCTATGTAATTGGGTGTACGCTCCCAGGAAGTTCTGCCGCAGCCGAGCGTTCTTTCTCTGGCTTGCGAAGAATCAAGTCCTCTCTTACAAATAGGATGTCTGAAAAGCGGTTGTCAGGACTTGCACTCATGCATTTGCACCATGACCTTAAAATATTGACGATATCTGTTCAGCATTTGTAGCCAAGCGCAAGGAAAGGATGTTCCAGAGGTGTATCCTTTACGAGTAAAATCCATGTCCACGGTAGGGGGGGGGGCTAAGAAAACTGGTGTTAAATAATAATTGGTTATAATGAGTAACGGCGCAGGGGGGGAAGTTGGGTTGGGATTTGTTGGTTGTTGGGGAGAGTGACGGAGTTTCAGGGAGAAGTAATCAGCCCAACAAAGTTTCTGTAGTAATTTCTGAGTTAAAGTTTGGAGCCGCCGCCCCCCCCCCCCCCCCCCATCAAAAATTCCTGGATCCGCCCCTGTAAGTCATTAATAACTTAAGCATTGTCATTACATATGAAGTTTTGCTCAGTCAAAATATCAGTCACTCATCTTTTTATATCTACATTTATTGTAAGAGATATTAAGCAAATTTACAATTCAATAAATTGGTCTATCAGAATTGAACGAGTCTACTTTTCTAGTGTTCTAGTTACTTGTGCAGAAATTACCATTGAACGATGATAAAGAAAAACATTTATTGTGCGAGCAACTCTATAGTTGTATGAATTTCTTAAAGGAACTAGTTTGTATTTTCTGGTCCAGCTCGGCAGATTGAAAAAAATTCACTCACAATGATACCTGACAAGCTAAAACTGGAATATTATTTCCACAATAACAGTTGTTTTTCAGTCCTATCCTGCAAAATTGAAAACTGTCACCTAAAGATACATGACAAGCTAAAACTACGATATTCTCTCCGGAGTAAAATATTGACAAAGGAACCTGAGACCGAGGGAGATCGATATCCACCAATGTGAGTTTCAATACGCACGATGGAGAGGATCGCGGTCTCAACTGATACATGCACTCCTAGAAATTGAGCTACGGAAGGAGGTGGAAGTTCGCGTTAGTCCGCTTTTTAATACATACATCCCAAGCACCTCAAAGATCTCTTAGCAAATCATATTCAAGGAAGAAGAAACAAATATAAATTATTTGATTACCGGTGTAACGATAAACGTGCTAACTTTGTAACCATTCCCACATTATTATTCCTTTTTGCAAAACACATTTGAGTGTCTATTTCAAGATATGAATTTTTTTGTCTTCATAGTCACAAACCAAAATACGACCATCTGGTGTTGTAGCTATTGCTTTCGGATCTCTTAGCTTAACAATAGTTTTGCCAATAAAACGACCTTCCATTGTAAACTGTTGAATGCGTCCGTTATTTCTGTCACACACCAAAAGATTCTGATGATCACCATATTTCTCAACACACAAACCCCATGGAGATGAAAACTGTCCATCAGCTTCGCCTTTTTCTCCAATCTTGTACAAGAACTTCCCTGATTTGTCAAACACTTTCAAACAATGATGTCCAATATCAGATACAATGAACTTGTTTTTGTGATAAATGCATCCACTAGGTCGGTTTAGCTTTCCAGGGCCGTTGTCTCCGAATTTGTACATGAATTTACCATCTTTGTCCAAGACCTGAATTCTGTTGTTACGGTAATCCGCAACAATGACATGTCCTTCATCACTTAAGAAAATTCCCTCGGGTTCCAGAAACTCGCCGTCAACAGTCTCTTCCTTTCCAAAGCTCTTCACAAAGTTCCCTGTCTGTAAATTTAATTGTTGAATTCGGTCATTACCGTCATCCACCACCAGAAGCTCGACATCATTCAAGAATGTCAATCCAGCTGGATAAGCCAGCTGCTCTGGCCCTTCTCCATAGCAGCCAAATTTTCGCACAAAATTTCCATCCTCATCAAACATTAGGATGCAGTGTTTTTCATGGTCACTTACAGCGATCGTTCCTTTGCTGTTGACAGCAATCCAATTTGGACTTTCAGGAATTTCTCCTTTTAGAACTAACTCGCCCACAACATCAATCCGTCGTTCCTTCACGTGGACCCTGAAAGGACTGCTAACAAGTTTGTCGCCATTTATCTTGACTGTCATGTTGTAGGTGCCAGGTACTTTAGGAACAAACTTCACGTGGAAATCATCATTTTCGTTTTTAAAGGTTCTTAAACAGGCTACATCTTCAGCAGGTTCTATGAGTACTCTAACGTCAAATTCATGCTGGCATTTACTTGTAAGCTCTCCCTCACTCTTTCGCTTTGGACAAACCAAAAACTCTGCTTCCAGACCAGCTTGGAGATTTTCAGTAAGAGCTTTCATTGATGACAACCGTACATCTGTTTCATTGGTTATCACTGGCCCCAGGTTTAGGTTGTCAAGTGCATTAGTCGAGAAAAACTTCACGTATGAGCTGACAGGAAGTGCAGGGACTATGGCCTTGTCGAGATCTCCAAATCTCTGCTCTAAACTTTTCTTACTTTTCATAAAATCTGAACTGGAGCTTCTCTCAACCAGGTTTTTTCCAAACTGAACCGCTTGGTCGAGTTGTTTGATCAATGACTTAACTAGCTCGTTTAGAGTGTTTATTTTCTCCATTTTAACCACACGTGTATTCTCGAGGATTTTTGTAGCTTCCTGTTCGTGTTCTCGAATCTTTGCGATCATTTGTTCGGCTGTTTGGGAAACCTCTCGTTTAGCAGCGGTAACATTTCGTTCTAGCTCTTCAACAACTTGTTGAAAAGTGTGAATCGCATCGCTACAGACTTTCCTCTTTTGTTCTATCGACTCGACTGCCGCCATAATGTTTGCTTTCTCGGCATCCGCTGCTTTCTCAAGCGGATCAACATTATGATTCTTGTGATCAGTGTTTATGCAAACTTGACAAACACAAATCTGGCATTCAAGGCAAAAAAACCTGGTTACCTCTCTCTCGTGGTAAGGCTGAGGGCAATAGGACTGACGCTTTAACAAGGCCTCGTAATCTACGGCTTGAAACTGTTTCACTGCCGTCACTTTGTGTCCTCGAAAGGCAATCTCTTGAAACAATTCGTGTGCATTAACACAATCACGGCACAGTAATTTTTCGCAAGCGAAGCAATAGCTGATCTCGGCGCTCTTTTTCTTACAGATACCACAACTGATCTGACTTCCATCGCCACTTTGTCGTACAGCGAGAAGACTCAACAGGCTGTTTTGCAGAAAACCAGTCGGCAAATTATCGAAACACTTTCCTTCTGGGATATTCAATTGTGCCTGACAATCGGGACATCGAAATTGTCCTTGTCTTTGGGTTTTCAAAGCGTGTTCCTCTAAACATTTCAAGCAGAAGGTATGAAGACAAGCAACGGTCTTTGGTTTGGTGTAAGTATCCAGACAAATGGAACAAGTGACATGTTTTTCGAGATTCTTCAAGAGAGACTCCATGGCGAAGGCAGATTACGAAATCAGAGCGAAATGAAACACACCCGTGTATTGTTTGTGATTTCGAGAAACATCAGCCAGATTAAATATTATAGCTTTTTATGTCTGCTAACCAAGCAGATCGAACCTTGTGACCTTTTATTTCAGGAGCGGATGTTAAGTACAAAAGAATTAGTATTTCTTTAAACAATGGCTCTTGTTCAATCTCTTAGGATAACCGATACGAGATGAAAAGGAGTATTTTACAGTAAATAGTATTTGATGTCATAGGAAGGCATTTCCAGTTATTAAAGGGTAAAAACCATTTTATGTGGGCCAGAAATAAAAGGACAAATTTAAAACTTCGGAAGTCCGTAAATTTGATAACTGGGCGGACAGCCCTTTCGCGTATGTGGAAGGGAAACGCTACATACGGAGGACAGCGAGGAGTGTTTACAGTATTTCCCTCGACCATTGCGAAAACTAGATAATATTCCTCAGGCATCTTCAAAGGCTTCAGGCTTAAATTTAATTCAAACATAAGTTATTATATGAGAAAGAAGTGATTTAGAAAAACATTTAACTATAAAAAATTGCGATGAAGCATTTCTTGAAAACATTTTAAGATTGCTAAAAAACGACGACGTTTCGACGTTGGCTAAACGTCATTATCAAGTAAAAAAAATATTTGCAAGTTGCAGTCTATAGAAGCAAAAATAACAATGGGTGGTAAAAAGCTGTAACGTAAGAAAAGAACAATAGTAATTAAACAAAACGTTTAGCACGTATGGAGTCCGTCTGGATATTTAAATTAGGCTTGAGATTCTTGATGAACAGCATTTCAAAGACTTAACGACCAAATTTCTCCTGGCACTTTCCTAAAACTCTAAATTGGTTTTCTTTCAAGAGGTGGTTGCTGTGGTGAGCTTCCACGAAATGTCGACCGATTGCCGAATATTTGTGCTCAGCAATGTGTTGATGAAGGTGTCGGACTGTGTACCCGACATAATCTGCATCGCACAGATCACATGAGAAACGGTAAACAACTGGTGGCTTGATTTCTTTGGGTTTACGATCTTATCCAATTTCTTGCTCACAAAAACAGGCAGCAATGTTGGGACAATCTTATGGCTAAGATCGCACAACTGCTTCCGAACCGCATTCGCGGTCACTTGATCCTTGAATGGAAGACTAGTTCTTATTGCGCAGTTGCGCGATCTTAGTCATAAGGTTTTCCCTACATTGCAGCCTGTTTTTGTGAGCAAGAAATTGGGGCAAGATCTTAAACCCAAAGAAATCGAGCCGTCAATTGTGAATCGGCTATGCGTTATTTATCGTTTCTCGTGTGATCTGTGCGATGCAGATTATGTCGGGTACACAGCCCGACAACTTCATCAATACATTGCTAAACACAAATGTATTCGGTAATCGGTCGACATTTCGTGGAAGCTCACGATAGCAACCACCTTTTGAAAGAAAACCAATTTAGAGTTTTAACAAAGTGCCAGGGAAAATTTGTTTGTTTAGTCTCTGAAATGCTGTTCAACAAGAATCTCAAGCCTAATTTAAATATCCAGACGGACTCCATACGAGCTAAACTTTTTGTTTAATTACTAATGATCTTTTCTTACGTTACAGCTTTTTATCACCCATTGTTATTTTAGCATGTAGAGACTGCAACTTGCAAATATATTTTTTTATTTGATAATGACGTTTAGCCAACGGCCAACGTCGAAATGTCGTCGTTTTTTCGCAATCTTTAAACGTTTTTAAGAATGTTTATCGCAATTTTTTATTGTTAAACTTATTGTAAAAAATATAAAATGGACTGTCTTCAATTCTCACTGCAATTAAACTACTTTCATTTCTTTTTATGTCTTCATGTCTTTAGGCATCTTCGACGCATTCTACTGTTGTTACTACGTCTCCGTCATATAAAAGTTCTGTCATTGATAAATCATTTTTAGTGACAAAATTATTTTACTTATAAATCTATTTTCTTGCTTTCATCTCATCTTGGACAAAACTAAACGCATCTGCTTTACCGGATTTTCCAACAAAACTAAACTCAGTTCTTTGACTCGACTGTTTTGGAAGTCTTAAAGGGGTTGTTGACGCGCCACTCATAACAGGCGGTTGAACGACTGGATGGGAATTAAAAGGAAATTGTATCGGAAATTGCTGTAGTGTTCCTTGTGGTCCGCTGGCAGGTAACGCGACAATTGGTTGCGTAGTTCTGTTGTGTGACAATTCGTCTCCATTCCCGAAAATTTGTGAACCACTTTTAAGATTTACTGAGACAGAGCCGGGGGTATTTACATTCAAAGAGTTCATTGGACGTAAATTGTTGTCCTGAGGTGATATTATATTGTTGCCGTAGCTCACAAGTTGCGGATCCTTTAGAACGTTTGTCTTTGAATCCGAATAGTAATTATTTCTTGTTTCAGTAATTGAAGCCAAATTGGATTGCGTGACATGATTTCCAACAGCATTCTTGCTGTCCGTTAGCAATGGATCAAACAGATCTGTCACGCTGTCCTTAGAAGCTTCTTGGGCGTTAGCCTGTTTGACCGGGCTTAATCGTGTGATATCCTCTTTAACGGAAAACAAATCATCTAAGTCAGATTTAGAACCCTTATCTCTTTGATTTGTAGTATTGTTTTTTCTAAAGGTGTCACTCCCACTTGAAAGATCAAGTCCTTGGAACACATCCATAACTCCCCCTGAAGATTTCATCTCTGGAACAGTAGTGTTGGAATCAAACAGTGCTGATACTGTAGTGGTGTCTCTTTGCTGTACATGGGAAAGAAAAAGAAAGTAAGTACTTTTAGTTTATAAGCTTCTAGTTGCTAATTGACCGAGTATTTTTGGTCTTACCGAATGCAAACTCATTCCAGAAAATAGAGCAAGATTTTGATCTGTAGTTGACTGAAGTGAGTAGTCAACAGTGTCTCCAACCTGCAAGATATAAAGAGACAAAGATTACCAACTTAACAGTCAGAATCGAAGGGTGAATTCAACTCTAATTCATCATGGTGAAAGAGAATATTGTTAAATGGATGCATTGTCCTGAGGCTAAATTGTACTGTTGATGTACCTAGTCATTTGTGGAGCCTCTTAAAGGCTTGTCTTTGAATTTTTTCTTGCTTCTTAAATTGAGGTCACATAGGATTGCGTGACATGATCTCAAAGGGAATTAGTAAATGGCTGCTGGGCTTTAAACTTAGAATCCAGTTATGTCAAAATAAAAGCAAATGTAAAGAAACAAAAATAACAATAATAAAAAATAAAAGAAAAATAGATCATCAGAGGTATAAACCTGGCATGGTCAGTCTAGAGTCTATAAAACTTACCACTTGGACATCTCTTTCTTCAACTGAGACTTGGGCATCTGCAAGGAAACAAAATCAAGCTTTATAGAGTTCAATGCTAAAGTTAGTTCAACCTCAAATGATCAAATACCCCAAAGTGTTCCACATGAGTATAGTGAAGCTTAATGATCTTTGACTCATCTGTTGTGTATTCATTTAGAGAAGACTCTCACTCTTTAATTTAACCTTCTATATTCTGTCTTTATTCATCAATCAACTATCTAATAAGCTGGTGCAACCATGTTACTTGATTAAAGTCCTTTAACATCATTCAGTAATCCCACAGATATTACTAACATTGGTACAAGTACTCTTTCTCTGTTCTCAACATACTGCACCATCTTAGAGAGAGTTACCCAAACTACTTAGGATAATAAGCTATTTCCTTTGGGTTAAAAAATATGCATGACGGGGGTGGGGGGGAAGTACCATTGTTAGGATAGCCCTGCCCCTAAGGTAACCTTGCCTGACACATCCCTTGGGTTAGGGTGGGGTTATCCCCTGGAAAGACTTCCAAATATAGCTTTGGGTATTGATAGCTTAGAAAAGATCACAGATGGAAGCATGTAGTACTGATTTCTCAATTTGTGTTTTTGCTTATTATTCCATCTCTTGCAAACACTGAGTACTGCTAGTTATTTCCCTCTGAAGTGTGTCACAATTATTTAGGCCAAAATCTATGATCAATATCATATGCTTCATGCTTACCTTTCTCAGTTCCCTCTGTTTTTCTTTTTGCATTCAGTAAATACAAGATCTAAATAAAAACAATATATTGTTTCTGTCAATATGTGTATGATGCATATCCACACAGACAATATTTTAAAAAAAATCACTCTTCATTAAGTAAATTAATCTGATCCACTCACCTTTGTAGCCTTGGATAAAACACTACCACTTTCTGATTTTGTAATTCCTTCCAAATTTGTGCAAAATCGAGACATTCTTGAGGCCACACAAGGAATATCACTCTTTAAAAGGTGCTCCAAAACATGTAGTGACTTCTGCAAAAAAAAGAAAAAAATTTGAATTCCATAACTTTACAAAACAAAACAAAAAAATTTAACCACAATTTCACTTTGAATAGAGCCTGTTACATTCATAAATTAAACCATCCCAAATTTGAAATGGTACTATAGTTTTTTTTTAATTTTAATATTTATAACCCCTCCATAAATAGCCATGGTAATAGTGTTTCATTTGCTAGGCATGTGACAAGCAAATATAGTGTCTAAGCATTAAAAAAAAAAATGTCCAGACTGGGATGAACTTGAAAAAAAATTAGGTCCGAGTTATGTTCTTGAGTACAATCCATTCAAGTTTACTCTACTTCTTTTTTGCTTTTTTGTTTAAATAGTTTGGAGTTTGGCAGTGGTATCCTGATTTGGATCTGCTGAAATAAACATGCAAAGACTAGTCTTTGCACCTTATTCTGTGATAAGAGTATGGGTTCTTCAAGGTAATACTGTTAAAAACACCATAAGAAAATTAGACCAGCTAGGTCTATCTTGATCACATTTTCTTTTCAAATAGATTCTTTTAAAATATTAAGAAGATTTCTATTATTTTACTGGTAGTCTTTCTTTATAGTTATTGTAACAATTTTTTAAACTTTTTATTGAAATGTTATTTCACAGCCAAAACAATTTTTATCATTATATTACATTTAATATTCTAATTATTATAATTTCATCTTCTGTGCCATAAAGGAAAACTAGCTTGTCAGTGCTGCTCACAGTAGCTTAGTGTATTTATCAATAAACCAGTATGTATGCAAGGTCCCCCTCTGAGTCATACCAATGAAAATAAAAGAGAAAAGTTCTTTGGTTTAGACTCCTCATCCAAGAAGATCAGAATGTCCAACCATTTGTAGAGGTCACTTTAAAGACTGCACATTCATCTCAATTATTTTAACCACTAAAGTGTTCCTCTGGTCTGGGACTCAAACCCTCAACCTCCTACATGTGCCCCACTTTGTCTTTTAAATGTTTTCCTTACATTCTTTAATTGATAGTTTTATACCATTGTCATAATTATAATACTGTTCTTTACAGATAATTTTACAAGATTGACTGGCCAATACTGAGATTACCTTGAATTTTGTGCCCTCTTTATCATACTGTATAGTAATTACAGGGTTTTTATCCTTTTTCAAAAGCACATTTCAAGGACTTTTCCAGGACTCAGATTTTTTCCCGACTCCAAATTTCACCTTAAACCCTTTCATTCCCAAGATTTCTAATTCAATTCTCCTTCTGGTCTACATTTCTTACAATGTAAATTGTAAAAAAATTAATTGAACAAATCAAGCAGATTTCCAGGTCTCTCAAAGACCTGTAGTCCTTTTCCAAGACTTGCAAGGTTTTCCAAGACTTGTACAAACCCTGTAATAAACCTGGATTTTATTGTTTTGTATTATCTTTTTCTTGGTAACAAATTAATCACACTGTAACATATTCACTGATGACACAACCTTTTCTTGAGTGATTTAAGTGATTTCATAATAGACACATATCTTATTAGGTAATAAACGTTCCTACCAGTTGAACTTCAGTGACTGGTTCCAGTAGTCTGCTGTTCAGTGCTATCAATACCTCATTGAAATTTAAGGAAGAGCATCTTACAAGAAAAAAAAATCTAAATGAATGCTTTGAATGTTTGAATTTGTCAATAACTGATGTTTAAGTTCCTTATCAGAGCTAAAAGTAACAAGCAGGAATTTCATGGAAACTAGCAATAGCAAGAAACCTGAACAATACAACAATAGCAATTGTAAATTTCTGACCAACACAATTTATTACCATAAACTAATGCAAAAGTTGGAAGAATATTCCAAGTATAATTCTACCTTTTTGTGAACTGATTTAAATCTTGCTTTGAAGGCACTGCACGTATTCCACCTTCAGATGTAATGTTTTCAACAAGATGAACTTCTACAGACAAGGTATCTTCCAGTTCTACTGATTCTTGGTCTCCTGATGAACTGAAATTTAAACACAAAGAAACATTAAACCTTTCAATTTACCCCAATTAATATATTAAATGACCACCAACTCAGAGGAGTTTTGAAAAATACCTTGTGCATACTGTTTTCTAAATGGACCAAAATTCCTGTTAGGGATAGAGGTAGACCCTCTTGGCTCCTGTTGAATTTTTTTTACATGCTCTAAGGATCAATACATGCCTATGGCAATGCAACTGAAAATTATTATAATAAAATTTATTTGTTCGAGTCATACAGGGTATATTCCAACCAATAACACTATTGTGTGTTTTGTTTAATTTGTCATGATAGAAAAAGGGGAAATATCTTTGTTTCCCACGGGGATCACACCTCCACACCATCGGAATATGCACTCCTTTGCTCCTCCATTGAGCAGGAGAGAACTTACTGGTGAGTCTTTTTAATTAGAAATTACAAATAGAAAGCAAAGATGTTTCTCACTGATGGGAGACTTCATCATCCACAAATGTCTTGGAATCTACAAATTAAAAGTAATTAAGAATTTTTTGTCAAATATTTCCTGTAAATATGAAGATCACTTCTGTCTGTGTTTACTTTAGATTGATTCACTATTTACTTCCTTGAAGACCATGTGATGGTATAATTAACCATTATGAATAATTCAGATATTAAGTGAAAGACAAAATATTACTAAGATCAGGAAAATTCATTATTAGAATGAATCATTTATAACACTAGTCAACAATCTTTATTGCTATTGAACCCCATGCATACATAGCCTGTAGAGGTATCAGAGTTCAGTGATGGTGATTTTATAGGGAGCAGGCAAGGTGGTTATGCTGCCTCCATTTTAAGATGGCAGATTCCAGTGAATGTTGTCATTGCTGAAGCACAAGCTGGAATCTTGTGTATTTTAGTGCCGTAGGATGGTGGATACTTGAAAATGTGCAATAATCCTTACAGATTGTGCATAAAGTGCTAAACAGGATCTAACACATTTCATACACTAGATCTATGTGTTGGAATTTTCTACAATTCAAACACTAATGTCCCCACTAGAATTTTCAGATGTGTCATCTGATCATCATAGAAAACAACACACTGCTAAGATACCTGAATCAGGATCTGAAAAATCAACGTAATTAACAAATCTGATGCCTCCAGTTGATCCTCCAGTTGATGCCATACTTTCTTTTTCTTTCTTTGATGCAAAACGATTTGCTGCCTCTGGAAGACGTTCAGCCATAGTTTTCATGGAATCAAGCCACGTTTTGTTTTCTGTAGTAAAATTCAAGAAAGAAGATAATGCTACATGCTGCACAAATTCTTTGGTCTTCATACCTTGAGTGTTCACATAACATTGAGCAGTTTTGAAACCAATTCTATGATTAATGACTTTATAAAAACAGAGCAATTAAATGTTTGCTTTGTTGTCTTCAACAGTTATGTGTTCATGTTGATTTTGAAAGACGCTTTTTGTGTCATTTCCATGTCTAATAATTAAATTGTATACCATATAAAATTGTGTTTGATTTTCTGCACTCATTGATTGAATGTTCACTTCAATTTCTGGAAGATCATGCACAATAATGTGTTAGCTTGGTTGAACAGATGCTGGAGAGTTTTGCTCTCTTTTTAGTAAAAAGCAGTCCCCATAAGCCTAGGGCTTAAACCCTAAAGAGTAGGTTAATACTTACTTGGCTGTTGAGAAGGTGAGTTTCCAAATCCTTCCATCTTCTTTCCTGTTGGTCCCCTCATTGCTACAGTTATAGACAAGAATTAAGCAGAGTTAGATCTTTCCCCAAGGTATTTCTGGTTACTAGTGAATTAGTCTGTACCACATAATTCAATTTTAGCCCCTGTTGGATTAACCTTTTAACTCCCAAGATCTGATTGTGAATTCCCTCCTCAAGCTACTACACATTTCCTTTAAATTGGTTATGAGAATTTGTTGTTAGATCGAGATAAAACCTTCTAACTGATAAGTTTGAGTATTCTCATTACCTGTTTGCTGGGTAATGTAAGGGTATCATGGGGAGAAGTTACATGTTAATCACTTCTAGGAGTTATAGGGTAAAACCACTATAATTCACTTTCTCCTTTTTTTTTCAGAAGATACCAAGTGTTTGCAATCTAAAGTCAACCCTTTAACTCCCAGAAGTGATCAACAAGTAACTTCTCCCTATAATATCCATGCATTATCCCACAAACAGGTAATGAGAATACTCAAACTGATCATGTAGAAGTTGTTTTCCTAATCTAACACCAAATTCTCATAACTAATTGACAAGGAAATGTGTAGCAGCTGGAGGGGAGAATTAACAATCAGATCTTGGGAGTTAAAGGGTTAAATACAGGTTAACTTTTCAAAAAACAGTCATTTCCTTCTGAAAAATAATTCATCTTTCTCCTTGCTTATCAGAGATGTTACATGAATCTTGCAGATGTGATTTCCAGCCACACTGACTGTTTATTTCATAGTAAATGCTGTGTGGTAAGCCTTCTCAGCACTACAAAATGTATCATGAAATACTACCGATACTTGCTTTTTACTTCTGACATGTGATTATTTTTTCTTGGTGACCTTATTTTGAATCACAGTTGCCCAATAGCCTTTTTGAAAAATGCTCAGCTCAGAGCCTTGGCCCTGAGGCAAGTCCTCCTCTATCTTAGCAGCCAGTCCCTTCCTTTCACTCACCATGCATGGTTGAAGTTCCACTGCTCTCAACATTGAAGAGTAGTGCAATTAACTCCTACAAGACAAAGTAATAGTTATTATTAATATAAACCACACAGGTGAATAGTGCTCTTCTTACATGCTGACTGACTGGTTCAAAAGTGATTAGCAAATATTATTCACCTCTGAGCAGCTGAAGAGACAAAATTGTATGTCTACAATGTAAATTCTAACCATTTTTTGTTATAACGACAGAAAAAAAAAAAAAATTTTTGTTTCTGTTTAGTAGATACTCAAACAATTATTCACTCCATTGTCAGTGAAAGTGGTGGATGTCTACCTTGCCACAAATATTCACCTCCTCTTCGGAGAACAAAACAACAACTTGACATTACATAAACTTTCATAAAGGTAAATTTAATGAAAATGTTCCCAACAGTTGCATGGGAGATCAGGAAAAACCACAAAATGAACACTGCTAACATTTAGTCTAGATTTTTAATGCCTTATTGCCTTCTTTCCTTGACAAAAATACATTCCTTTGTTAACGGATTTCTAAGTCTTGCAGTTATCACAGGCTGCAGTGTAAGCTGAGCTTCTACTAACAGTAACAAAACTAAAACTGCTCTATTTTGTTCTCCCTTTGAGTTCTTACACAACCTTCTCACACATCAGTATGCATATTCTCTATACCATTCTCTATACACTTCCCAAGGAGCTGACAAGGAGAATTTATCTATAAATTGAAAGCTTTTTAATTTGTGATCATTTCCTTTATTCTCAGGACATCAATGTTTGATTCAGAGGTGATATTGTAAGGAGAAATTAAATGCTAGTCACTCTTGGTGAATAAAGGATAACTTCTTGTGTTGACAACTTAGGCAGTTTTGGAAGAGCAAATTCCTTGTTAAGTATCATAATTATCCAATTATTAATTGGAATTCAAAAATTTTATAACTCACTGATGCTGCGGCTCTAACTCGTTGATTGAGAGCATCACCCTGTAGATGATCCAACTGACCAGTAAAACCTACAAAGGAATAAAAATGCAGGAGATTATTTCAAATATAGCACATTTATCTCAAAAACATTTTTGGTTTTAATGCCAGTTTAACCCTTTAGTTTCCAAGATTTGATTATCCATTCTCCCATCTATCTGCTAAATTAATCAAAACTAAACACAATTCTCAAATGTGATTGGTTATTGCCAGCCCAATTTGAGCACTAATAAGACAATGAATACGTCATGCTTGTAATTGGACAGTGTAACAGGAGAGTTGACATGTCATGCTTGTGTAAGTAGACAGAACGTGTCATGCGCACGGGCTTTGCTGAGTTATCTATTGTTTTTTTTTTGGGAAACATATGACCAAAGTCTAATTTCTGTCTTGAACTTTGTCATAGTTTTGATTAATTGGTAACAGGACTTTATGTCATCCACTTCTGTTGGTAATCATCCTCATGATTAACAAACCTGACTCCTGCTTTGCAGTCTTGGGATTTGCTCAATCACTCATATGATTACAGACTGAATTGGACTCCACTCAGTCCTATTACCATTATAAATTAGTAATAACACTTTGTGTTAAATCAAGATAACAACTTCTCCCTGATAACTATGAGAATTCTCATTACCTGTTTCATGGATAATGTGTGGATATTAGATAGAGAAGTTGCATGTTAATCACTTAAGGATGTTGAAGTCAATTACCTTAGACAGAGACAGGATATACAGATACAAAAATCTAGATCTTGTAAATTTTCCTACGACAGTGTTTATTCTATTTGTTAGAATGAAAGGAAAACAAAGTTTTGGTCATGGTGACTTGATTTCTTTACTCATCACTTACCTATTCTAAACAAACACAAGGTAAAAATTTTGGAAACTACAATGGTTAACAGAGGTTAAGTTTTTTAAAGAAACTGTGGTACTGCATTTGTGGCCATATTACAAGATGATTTGGTCTAATCAACTAAGTTTATAAATGTAAATAGGCCAATGTTAAGAGTTTCTAAAGCTGACGTTATAAGGGTTAGCTCTTCATCAGAGCAAAAATGAAGATCTAATGCTCGAAATGTCAGCTTTTAAAACTCTTCAAGGTGGCTGATTTACAATATCAGCCAGATTGACAAAGCTAAATTATGTGAATATGAAAGTGATCTCCCCAGTAATGAACACTACTTAAGCAGTGGTGAAACTAAGGCTAGTGTCCATTACTGTGAAGATTGCTTTCATAAAAAATAAGGCAAGTAGTGCTCATTCCTGCAAAGATTGCTCTCATATTCACGTCTTTATCCGCAGTTCAAATATATGACTTTCATACATTCACAGTCATTTAAAACTAAATTATCTTACAATGCTTAAAACCCTGGGAAGTAACTCAATGCTCAACTGGCCTCATGATGTTTTACATTAATGTCAATCCACCCAGAAGAGAGGGAGGACAGAACAGTTTTTTTTTAAGAAGAATCCCTGACTAGCACTGTGACCAGCTAATACTGACAGTAACTGTACCAAAAAAACAATTAACTAACCACTGAAGTGGAGGTGGCAAGTGATGCATATTAACTGAGCCATGAAGGCTTGGTAAATATCCTCCAAAAAAATAATATACATTGTAAACTCACTGTGAATTCACAAGTACTTACTTTCAGTTTCTCTGACAATATCAGCTTTATGCCGTAGAGCACTTCTGAACTCAGAATGACCATTGCTTCCAACATAGCACAAAATCTTTAGTACCTGCAGGCAGAGAAAAAATTTGAACAATTGATAACATATTAAGTGTTTTATGTCATGGTACAGTAAAAGTCTTCCTCTTTTATCATGGTCTTTTAAATTGTAAGCATCCATCCCTCTGTTACAAATCTACTTTATATTGACAAGGCACTAATCATGTATATTAGGAAAATTTCTCATGGAAGACTCCCTTAACCCTTTCACTCCCACAAGTGACCAAGACAGAATTTCTCCTTACAATATCAATACAATATCAAGCAGGCAGGTGATGAGAATAGAGAAGAATATCAATTATGAGATTATTAGTTGATCCAATAGCAAATTTTCCTTAATTCTCATGAGCTTAATAAATGGTTGAGCACTGTTTCTTTAGAGAGCAATTCTCTTAAGGTTTAAAGGTTAAATGATCCCTGTTTCCTTATAATTTACAGTCATATCACAGACCTTGTACTTGATATATGGTGATTGCCTCTTCAGTCTACTAATGAAAAAATCTAACAGAGAATTGCAGCTGCTGAGTGATTCATATGTTATACCTAAAATATTTATTAAGGAAACCTTCCATCTGTCTTTAATGGCACAAAACTAGACAACCAACTGACTTAGATTGATAAAAAACAAAAGACTAATCCCTCATCAGCTGGTAGTTCACACACAAAATGTTTTTTAATATGTACCAGCAGATTTATCAAAGCAAATTTCTGCTCTTAATGGAACAGATAATGCCAATTATGGGACACAAGAAGTTATCTTTGGTTGGCATAATCTTAAGGCTACTTCTTTTTCCTATCTCCACAACCACCTGCTAACTGAAGCACAACAATCCAATTTGTTGTTTAGAAATGATGATTTAAAGCACTTAAATGGTTAGATTATAAATTGGTTGACAACAATTCAATTGTGATTGTCTGGAATGAATCAAACAGAAAGATAGTTTTGTATTCTGATACACGGGTATTTTAAGAAACATTTTGAAAAAGACATTTACTAAAATTATTAGTTATTAAAACAATCTCCACAGTGCACCATGCACTGCTCAGTCAGCTCTTAAGAATCTTTATTTTGCACAGATAGCTGTGGCTTTCAAAAAACCAGTACAATTTTACAATAAACCAAGAAGCCAGTTTCATTCATAGATAATATTAACAAGGTAATTTAGTATGATCAACAATAACATAAATTGGCCACTGTAAAGAGTTTCATAGCTGATATTTCAAGCATTAGCCCTTCATCAGGGTGAATGATGAAGAACTAATGCTCAAAACTCTCTGGTAATACTAAATTACCCTGTTATACTCTCCCATGGACGTAGCACCACAGTTTCTTAAGAAACTTACCCCTTTAACAGTATTGCCATTCTAATTTTACGGAAGCCCTCAAGGGAAGTATGTCTAGTCCCCTGCCCACTAAAAGGTATTCTTTTTCCCAAGTTCCCTCCATTCATCAGGCCTCCCTGACAATTCATTTGCACCCATTTATACTCACGCGCGGAGGGCGGCAATGTGAGAGTTAGGTGTCTGGGCCAAGACCACAATACAATGACCTGACTAGAGCACACACTCACACCTTATGACCTGGAGTCCAGGTTGTACAGTGCTAGGCCACCTGTCTATCTCAGGTAGTTCTGATTATAGGGCACCTTTTACTCCTGAGTGCAAGTCTTACATTTCTTTGCGTAACAAGCAACCACTGCTTTCCAGTAATAAATACAATTGAGACGCAATGGTAACCCAAGTCTGTAAACATATATAAACTGACAAATGAAACTTCCAACTAAAATTAGTAACTAGCACAGATAGCATTATCGAACAATCAGGGTCATAAAGCAGATATCTTTTCAACTAATTTGGTTCACAGGATACTAGTAATTTCCTGATACATGTAACCAGAAGTTGGATTATTATCGTCTGAAGTGGCTTTCATCAGCAATGGAATCTGTACATGAAAAAAATGTTGATTAAGAAAATTCGGATGGTTTCAATCCCAAGTTCAAGTGCTCAAACCAAAGTAATAGCAACCCTGAAACAATGAATGCTTCAAATAATAAGTAAATAGTTACTAAATTTCTCTTTAAAGGAGATTAGTACCTTTTTTGCAAAAGAAACTTTCTCTGAAACTTTCTCCATCGCACTGCTAGCCATTTGAGCGGCCATTTTAAAACCTACTCCTGCAAGCCGTGTGCTATGCGGTTTTCCTTTAAAATAAACGACGTCATGTAAAAGAAAAAAAAACAGGAGACTTGATAGCGAGGTAGATAAATACACCAAAGGTTTGTCTTGCCGCTTTATGCTGTTAAGAGGCAAATTCAGAGCGAAATTGTCTCAGTTCTACAAATTTAATGGATTAGGAAGCTTTGGTCTTATCGCCAAAGCAAGTTTCTCTGTTGTTGGTGGGTGAACTTGTTTATATTTCTTCTTCAGTGATTTGATTACGTAACTGGTTGCCTTAAGAAGATGCTTTGTCGAGAACTTTTTCCCGATTATTAGATTACGCTTAGCATTTTTTCAGTTAGACATATAGGTAAGAATATTAAGTGAGCAACTTTGTATTTATGGAACAAACCTTGCAGCCTAAATGCTTGCCTGGGCGAAAATGTTATAATAACACAAAATCGTAACACATGTATTGGCGGTGACAAATGCAACCACGAGCTTACGTAGGAAGATTCAGTTAACAGTTGGACTTGAGGGCATTTTATTCACAAAAGAGCAAGAAAACTTGTCAACGTAGATTCTTGTTGCATAGTGATATTTTAGAAATTTGAGCAAGTAGTCACGTACATGGGTAACAATTATCACTATTGTAGATCGTATTGAATATGACGAATTATTTTTTTCTATCTTTGACAGTCTGCAAAAAAAAAAAAAAAAACCACGATTAATGCTTTATCAATCAATGGGCTTTACTTTGCAATAAGATTGATTCAGATTTTGTCTTCATGCCAAGTGTTTTTGTTATTATATCACCCCATGCAGTCTAGACGCCCTTGCCCTCTTTAGCAATTATATTTGCACGCCTTTCAGCTCGTGCCTACATAAGTTGTGTCACAGTGGAAAGGAGCCTTGTAGAGGACCCATAACAGTTCTTCCTTGCCGGTCAGCTGTCAGCCTTTTTTCACTCTTGCACTTTTTCACAGACATACAAAGCAAGCACTGAAGACAAATGGCACACTTAATATTTTGAATATCAGCTTTGTTGTTATTTTACTTAAATTTTTTTTCACAGTAATTTGATATGCTAAGAAAGCACTGGCAAGATGCAATAAAAGCTTAGTTGCAACATATTTTTTACTTGATACACTCAGTAAACCATTTGATTCCCATGAGTGACTGAGACAGAATTTCTCCTCACAATATCAATACAATCTCAAGCAGTTATGTGATGAGAAGGGAAAAAAAACGGCAGTTAAGGGATTTTTCAGTTGAACCAATACCAAATTCTCTAAACTTACAATATAAGAATTGTATGCCAAACAGTAAGGAGAATTACTGATTAGATCTTGGGAGGGAAGGATTAAAAGTTTGTACATTTTACCCTATCTTGCAGGGGTAGTAGATTACACTGTTTGAGTGATGTACTCTGTCTGAAATATTTGAAACTGTGGTGCTAAAGCTTTTTATCTCTTTTTTCCTTGATTCAGTCATCATGGCAGCAGTTATGGACACTGGCTTTGCATCATCACCATCAATGGCTTGTGAAGCAGACTGGATGGGTTTGAAAGTCAATCTGTTCGCTTTTGATTTTGATGGCACTTGTACTCAGAAGGACACGACTAGTCTCCTTTACAAGGCATCAGAGAGGTATCGATCGTCTACTCAAGCCGAAATGAAGATTATTGACGAACGCTGGATAGAAATTGGAACCATTTACTGGAAAGGCCTCCAAGAAACTGTTTCAAGGTCAATGGCTCTTCACACAGATCCCAATTCTTTGCCATATTTTAATGAGAGAGGTTTGAGGTCATTTCTTCAAGAGGTGAACAAATACAACATGGCAATGATTAAGAAGGTAGAAGCAAGTGAAATCCTCAAAGGTATATCTAAGGAAGGCATCAAAGAAATTGCAAAGGAAGTGAAGCTCAGTCCTGGATGCCTGAACGTTCTCAATCACATCAACTTGCCGCTGCACTTAATATCAGTCAACTGGTGTCAGGAGTTAATCCAGGCCAATTTAGATCATCTCAGGCATGTGAACATTTTTGCAAACAGTTTCCCACTTGAAGGTGAATTATCATCGGGCCATGTGGGAAAGAAAGTGACAAGTCCTTTTGACAAGGAAACAATATTTCAGGATTTGGTCCACAAGCTGTCTACTGACAGTTCAAATGGCATCTCAGTTTTTGTGGGCGATTCCATTGGAGATATACTGGCCATGTTAAAAGCAGACGTTGGAATCGTGGTTGGGAAGAGTCATACCTTGAGGAAGGTGGCCAAAGCATTTGGAATCAAGCTCCTTCCTTTGCAGGAAATTCAGAAGATGACAGGGAATGGATGCCAGGAATTTGCTACCCCAAAAGAGAGAGGAATTCTGTTTGAGGCACCATCATGGAATGAAATTGGATTCACTTTGTTTGGGACAAGATACATTCCAAATAAGTTCTAGAATGTCAAATTAGAACCATTCTTTTCCTTCAAAAGGAAATGAAAGAGATCATAGGAGATCCATGCCAAAGTTGATTTACAACAGAAATGAGCTTTAAAAGATCTATGTGACACTATGTAGTGCACCATAGGACAACATGTTGACTTTATTGTGATTCAATGGTATTAGGTAGGGATAATTAGGAACAGTGTGGGACTGATGTGCAAAGAAAGACAAACAAACATGATTTTGACAAAGCCAACCTTACTTGTAGTTTCTTTTAGAGCATACATTCTCTATAAAGCCCCAACCTTTATAAAATGAAACTCATAAATAAGATATACATGTGATCTTTCTTGCATTATCAATACTCTATTCAGAAATAGATGATGCCAGTAGCCATTGACTGTCATCTCAGTTTAGAAAAAAATTCTTCTAACTTATTAAAAAGGAAATGTATGGCTGTTAGAGGGGAGAATCTTGAATTAGATCATAACAGTTAAAGGCTTAAAATAGAACTACAACAGTGTCCTAATTTGAAACAGTATCTGAAGGTAATGACTGGGCAATTCAAAAGCTTTTTGTTTCTAAGAAGAGATTTCCAAATAGGCATTGCTCTACAAGATGACATAAAAAACCCTAATGGGTTTAGAAGACATAAAAGTTTAATCAACAATGGGGTGGGGTATTTCCTTATTTAAGGAGTAAGCTATTCATTAGAGATTACTGCAGATATTTCATGCGAGTTAACTGCAATTAAATTTGATGATTTAGTCTTTGATTTTGCTTCCATCTTCCCTTTTATCCATTGTATCATGAACCTGTACGTTTATTTTACACAGTCTTGAGACATGGTTTGAGGACCAATGCTAACCTGGGCTCAGTTGTTGGAGGGCTGATTAGTGCTAACCCAGGGTTCAGTTTTAATTCAGGTTTCCTTACTGCTTTGTTAAAAAGCCTTTTTTGGATAATTTTTTTTATTTTTTAAAAGGCATCCAATCATCAAATCGTAGACGAAACAAATTATAATGAATTTTCTTCTATAGCTTTAACCCTATAACTCCCAAGATCTGATTATTAATTTCCTCCTCTACCTGCTTAACATTTCCTTGTAAATTAGTTGGGAGAATTTGGTGCTAGATCAAGATAACAACTTCTACCTTCTCATTACCTGCTTGCTGGATAGTGCACGGATATTGTTAGGAAAAGTTATATGAATCACTTTTGGGAGTTAAGATCTGATATCAGATTTCACACTAACCATGAAGCTACCTTAACCCAGCTTTGCACAACGTGGCCCAAGGCTAAAGACAAGGACAGCCTAAGTTAAAGTAAAACTTAATTTCCCCTTAAGTCTTAGTGTCCTTTCTATCCTTTCTGGGTGAAAGTTTCTTCTTAGTTTCCTCCTCAGCTTTTCCTCTGCTCCTTCTTCGACCTTCAGGACAGATCTTGGAGTTAAGACAGAACTTGCACATTGGACTTACAGGAAGACATGTCTGTTGACCAAATCCAACCAACAATACATTCAGTTCATCCCACTCCTCTCTGCAAAACAGAAAAAGAATTCACTAATTTAGTCTCTGAAACCATACACTCTAATTATTTAACTGTTGGTTATGGGTAAACAGCATATGATAGTCAAGGTTTGCTATGCATCTAGAGAATCTTGAACCTAGGTCTGAAAGTCCTTAAAGTTTTCCTTTTTGCATTCTGCTCCTTGAAAGTCAGGAAGGACCAAAAGCCTGTTTATTTCAGAATATTTGTAAAAGTTGTTTGGAACTTGCACAATAGCTGGGTCTCTAAAATGTGGCAGTAAGTGAAAAGGCTTTGGCAAGGAAGGAGCAAAACACCTGGTGAAGAGAATTTGTGTAACTTGGTATCATTCAAAATCACTTTTCACCAGCTTTCTACAGCAATTCTAGTTTCCTCTGGCAGTTTAGTACGTTTTTTGACCCATCCTGGTCTGTTAGAAATTCTATGAACATGAGTATCAACTCCAATTCCAGTCACTTGTCCCCAAGCCACATTCATGGTAATATGCACCATTTTTGGGCCCACACCTGGAAGTTTGACCAGCTCTTCTACTGTTGGTGGAATGTCTCCATTGTAATTCTCAGCACAAATTTTAGTGGCATTCTTGATGTACTCAGCTTTTTTCTACAATCATAGCATACCCACACACAACCTGAGAAATACCAGGTTGTCCTCCAATTGCTTCACATTGGTGGATAGGCTTAACCCTTAACTCCCAAGATCATTGCTAATTCTTCTACTGTTTGTCCTTGTAAATTAGCAAGAAGTTATTGTGAGATCATTTCAACTCAGTTGTTAACACTAAATTACCTATTATTAGGAGAAGTTTCATATTGATCACCTCTGGAAGTTAAAGGGTTACAAGTTAAAAAGGGAGTTCAGTGTCATAGATTTTGAACCATTTTTGTTGCTTCTTTTTCTACTTCTAGACTTCTGCTAGTGGTTTTTATAATAAAGGAGGGGGGGACTCAGAGGGTTCTATGGAGGATATCAACCAATCTACCCCTCTTTGTAAGTGAAAAAGTGACAAGTGAAAATAATAAAACAACTTGGTATAGCCCCCTTGTTTCAGTAACATGCTAATATAAGACCCCCCTGAACCCTGTTTAACACGACTGATGATGAAAAAATTATTATCAGTAGCTATTCTAAAACCGCCCCTACTAGTAAGTTTTTAAAAAATATTCAAAACTTTTAGTTAATAAGGGGAGAGAAGGCCTTCAGACTATTCTGCAAGTTACTTTTCTAGTGAGTAAATTCTGTCAAAATCAAGTTTCTAACTAACATAAAAATTTACTCACCTTCCAGAAGCCAACAGGGTAGATAAGTTCACCAATTTTGCTTGTTGATGTTGTGAGAATGTTCTCTATTGTTAATCCATAAGCCTTTAACTTTTCCATTGCAGCAAAAGTAACTTGGTCTTTTGTTTGACTTGACAGCATGAGGGAGATAAGTACTTGATATCAGACTGTCAGCAAAAGTGAGGAGAGATGAACCATTGATACTGGACTGTCTTAACCCTCTTTCCCCTAAGAGTGACTGGCTTCTAATTTCTCCTGACAGTTTCACCCTTGCATCAAATACTTAAAATCATGAAAATAAAGGAAATGATGTCCAATTCTAGAAGCTCCTGATTGTCAAACAAATTCTCCTCGTAAATTCCAGATGGTATGCAGCATAGTCAATTAGTTTTCATTGTTTGTGATAGGACAATGGTAGAATTATACTAATATTTGTAAGCACCCTCTTTCTTCTGAACAAACTCTTCAGTTGAGTCTGATGATGTGGCAAGCTTAATCAGCAGACTTTGTTTTCTGATTAGAAGGGAAATTTCAATCTTATATGCAAGGTAAGATTTCTGACTGGCTACTCTTTAACCCTTTACACCCTAACATCAGTATGCATATTCTCCACACTGTTCTTTATACATTTCCTAAGGTGCTGACAAGGAGAATTTGTTTGCCAATAAAAAGGTTTCTTTCCTGATGACCATTTCCTTAATTCTCATGACCTTAATGTGTGATTCAGGAGTGATATTGTAGGGAGAAATGAGATGTTACTCATCCTTTGGGTTTAAAGGGTTAAATGGGAAATTTAAGAATGGTTGCCAGGATGAGGGTGTATCCTTACAACTTTTATCCCAGTAGCTCATACATGAAGATCTCTATTGTTGCAAGTAAGAAAAAAAGAAACCAAAATCATCACAAAAAATTTGACAAATAAACATCAGTAAGGCAAGATCTCTGAAAATAGACTGGCCCAGTTGTCCAGGTTCTTATGAGGAGACCTCAACCTCATCCCAGGCTGCAGAGTATGGCAGATCTTGATGCAATGCAGCAATTTTGGCATGCAATTGACTTTTAAAAGGGAACTTGTGCATGCACTGCCATACTCTGCAAACTGATCCTCACCCACCTTAACCCTTTGACACCTAAGAGTGACTAACATCTAATTTCTCGTTACTCTATAACCCCTGAATCACACATCAAGGTCACAAGAAAAAAGGAAATGATCACCAAGCAAAGAAGCTCCTGATTGGTACACAAATTCTCCTTGTCATTACCTTAGGATATGTGAGGAGAACTGTATGAAGAATATGCATACTATAATGTTGGGGTGTAAAGGGTTAAACATATAGCTGTTGAACTATTTGTCATAATTTATCTTATAAATCAAATAAAAAGAGGGATGCAATCAATTGCTGAGGGTAAATGAATGTGTTGACATTGACCAAGCAAAAAGGGGTAAATTTTACCCAAAACGTTTCTACCCCTCATAAACAAGCTTAGTTGGCTCAGAGGAGACCACTGTGTCGGCTTCCCTTACCCCACCCCACTGGACTGCCAATTTCATCTCCTCTCACCTCTGGTGACTGGCTCTCATCAGCTGTCTTCTCGCATCCTTGTGAATCAACTGGGGCATCGCGTGTTTTTCTCATTTCACGAATATTAGCAAGCTGCTCTCTCCAGTTAGGAGGCTGCCAAGTTGAACCTTGTGTCTGTTCCGTGGATGTGTCTTTTTTACGCTTTTTGGCCGCAACATCTTCAGTTTTCTTGTCGTCCCTAGACGAGTCTTCTTCATGTCGCTTCTCGTATTCGATTTTGATGTGCCTTCTTGGTTCCTTTTGGTTCGTTGACAAAGCTGCGATTGCTTCTCTAGCCGCCGAGCGTGTTTGTCTTCCTTTTGAGGTGAAATACGGGGAAGCACTCATCCTGGAAATCCGTGAAAACAAACTGATCATATGTTTGAATCGTCAGTCTCCCTCATGTCTGCCATTATCAGTATTATCGTGAGCAGTCCTCCCCGATCTCGCCATGGAACGCTGATTTTGGCGGGAAAGTGATGTCACTCGACCAGCTGATTACGTAATTAGTCACTACAAAAAGCCGGAGATTTGCCGAAGAATAAAACTGATTCCCTATTAGCACATCCTCTCCATTGAATTTTCTCCACACTGAACCCAAAAGAACAAAGAATAGGCATCAACAAGAGAATAGAAACTTTACAATCTCTTGTTTGGCATCAAATATCGTCTGATGAAATTTTACTGAAAATTTTGAGCTTAAGAAGTGTTCATGATTGAAATTTACACGAACTTGAGTGGCAAACACGAGAATAATGAAACATCAAAATTTTACCATATTAAAACAACAAACTAAATCAATGGTTTTAACAGAAAACCCATGTCACTTGCCTTTAGATGGGGCGGTTTCAGATGAAATGAATGAGATTGGAAGGGAGTCCTCCTTAGATCATGATTTAATGATAATTGACAAGAAGATTGCGCTGTTTTAAACCTTAGTTTCTACATGTTCGTCCGATTCAGTTAAATAGTGACTGAAAAAATAAGTTAAAAAAAGGCTAACTACACGAGATATAAATTTTTCCATCAATCTTCTATGGCGCTTTGATTTGTCTTTTCTCTTCCCCAGTGTTAACTCCAAAGGTCTTTGTCCGTCTCGCTGTAAATAATTTATTATGGAGTTCAAAAGTCAAAATAGGTATTGTTTTCTTCCGTGTTAGGATGAGGCATTTGCACATATGTCTCACCCGGTATATACTAAATAATTTATGTAGAGAGCTGTCTCACCTTATTTCTTCAAACTTTAATATAAAAGCACAATTTTTATCTATTTGTAAGTTTTTCCTTCTAAAAGTTTTATTTATGCTAAGATTTTAAGCGATGTTTAGTCGATCGGTAGGATGTTAATGTTATTCCTGAAGGAACAGGACGAATCATCAAGCTCATAATTTGGAGTTTGCGTGCAGTTTGGAAGCAATCAGTATTTATTTCACAAGGATTCAAATTTAGGTTTAGCGTCCTTTAGCGCCTTTTACGTATTTATGTATAAAGAGAATATACCCCTTACGGACTATACAATTCGTACGTTGCGGGTCAGTATTATTCCGTGTTTCAAATCCGATCGTAATAACGTTATTTGAACCCAACAGGAAGAAGCACCAAGCTCAGGATGTAAATTTTTTTTGCGAAGGTTACGTCAGGTGAATCAAAGAGAATTGCCTTAAACTAATTTACCTCAGTATGTTTAATATAGCTGGGAACTGGACGTGCAATAAACAGTTTCCCAAGGGTCATGTTTTGGTCCCCCGTCTGCTTGCTTTGATGTTTATTTAAAGTAGTGCCTTCGCGCATTTATAGATAAAGGTTAAAAATAAATACCCCATACAGTCTCTACAATTCTTACATTGCGGGTCAGTACCTTTTCGCATCAGGACTTCAAATTTATACGTATATCTCGCCTGGTAAATACTTAATAATTTATGTAGAGGAGAGCTGACTCACGTTATTTCTTTAAATTTTAATAAAAGCAGAATTTTATTTATATGTAGTTTTTCTTTTGAAAATTTGTACGCTAAGCTTGCGTTTTGAACGATGTTTACCTGATCGCTTAAGTGTTATTCCTGAAAGTAGACAAAGTAAGGTCAGGACTTAAACTCTTCAGAGATTGATAAGAGGTTACATAACGCGCGGATTACCTCAAAATGCTTTACCCTTTAACTCTTATAAGTGACTAACATGTAACTTCTCCCTATAACATCCATACATTACCCGCCAACATGTAATGAGAATACTCAAACTTATCATGTGGAAGTTAATAGTCTTGATCTTACACCAAATTCTCGTGACTTGTTTACTAGGAAATGTGTAGCAGCTAGAGGGGAGAATTAACAATCAGATCTTGGGAGTTCAAGGGTCAACATAGCTGCGAACTGAACCCACAATAAAGATCAGATAAAACCTTCATGTTTTGTCTATATAGATGCAATCGGTTTTTATCTGATTTTGTCTAGTTTTAATTAAATTCTATCTTCATCTAGTCTTCTGTTATTTAGTTTTAAATTCTAGACTTCTGAACCCTTGGGTAATTATTTCCAGGATAAAAGCACCACAAAACCCAGAAAACTGTTGAGTTAATTAATTCCATGGCAATTGAAAAGAAAAGAATGCTCTAATTAGCGCACGAACAAGTTCAGTCAGTGAACCAATGTCGTGAAATGTTATCAATGTCTTCCTCAGAAAAAATTGCTCACTTATTTTCCCCCCTTAAACCGTTTAATCTTTCTTCAGTAGAAATAGAAGAGAATCCTTACTAAGTGTTTCAGATTTTGAAGTTGATCGAGCTTTCAATAATTAATGTTATTCGCCAGTCTCCTGCTAAGTTTCTAGAACCTAACACAAAAACAAACTGTGGATGAGAATTATTTTCACTCGAAAATTATTCATTTTCAAGTTGACGCAACTTAGTTCACGACTTTATTTTGATCGTGAACTAATGCAAAAGCCGAGTGGAAGTAACTTGAAAACGATGCAGCGACTCACTTTACTCTTCCATTCTCAGTTTCTCTTGTGCTGGAAGTTTGCAACTCCCTCAGCTCAACATCTAACAGGAACGTCGAATCCTGGTCGGTTGTCTTGTTTAAGATACGGAAGATTCGAACATCCTGAAAAAGGTAAAGCTTCACTTGAACAAGAAATCTGTGCATTCTAGATAATCGCAAAAAAAATATCTTAGACGACCGTGATGAAGAAGAGAAAACTTGACGCAGAACCAATGTAAACCAAGTAGATTTGTTGAGACTATTTAAATAGTAGGGTGGAAGGTAATGTAATCGTGGTGCGCTGTGGTGCATCAGTTACAACACAAGCAAATCTTCATATTTTAGCGAAAAACACTTAAATACCGAGTCTCGAGTCGAAGCACTTAAACTAGCAAAGCATTCAGCCATTTTTCTCTTAACGTGGGTAAGTTTCAAGCTGTCAAATTCGGCTTTTCGTGTCGTGCATTCCTCTCTAGTATCGCTTCGCTTGTAGCTGTAATGGAATAAAGTTAACTTCGTGAATGAAAGTGATCCTCGCAGTAATGTGCACTACTTAGGCAGTTCGCTAGAAAATCTTAGAGATAAACTCTTTTCACCTGTATGGCCACTTTTAGTAATGATGGAATTTTATTCACCTTCGAACGGAACTACTTCAAGTTAACTTGTTCTAGACACGATCAAACTAGAGTAAACCATGGCCAACAAGGACGATGAGGATGAAAAATGAGGACCCGTGATCGAATTCGCTGTGATTTGAGTAAAAAATCAAATCCCTATTTGACGTCATCTATGATCTATTTCTGAACAGACGCACGGCAACTTGGAATCTATTTGTTTTATATAATAAAGAATTAAAACAAGTTTTAATGATAAAGTAAATGGTTTGAACCCAGAAGTATCAGTAGTTCGTGTAGTGTGATCGTCCGGGTGAGTGTAGTTCTGAAAGGACTGTTGTTGGTCACTTTATAGACGTTTCGACTATCTGTGCGGTAGTCATCTTCAGAGTCAAGTGAAGAGTAGTTGTCAGTCGATGATGTTATAAAGTCTGGTCTTTTGAACGTGATTGGTCTGTTTAGCCGTGATGTGATTGGCTGGAAGACTTGTGTAGAGTTTGTTAACAGTCATTGGTCGGTTTCGATCCGTCTGTTTGTCGGTCTGTTTGTCGGTTTGTTCACGTCGTTAAGGAGTCGTTTGTAAGGTGCTGGTAACTGTTGACATCTGTTGAGAGGCGTCTGTTCTAAGT